GGCTTCTGGTTACCTGTGTGATTGACCTGCTACTTGCTCCTGCTGGCTGCAGTGCACAGCTAGCTCTCTGGGGCAGGGACAGTCATGTTCATCTGTACAGCCCCTGGCACCACAGGACAGGGAGTCGTAGTCCCCAGGGCAGGAGTGGTGCCAGGGTTTTTGCCGCCCTAGGCGGCAGCGCTCCTCCCCAGAGCATTCAGCGGCGGGCGTCCTTCCGCTCCACGTCTTCGGGGCGCTTCGGCGGCGGGTCCCGGAGCGAGTGAAGGACCCGCCGCTGAAGCGCCCCGAAGACACAGCAGAAGGATCCCCGCCGCCGAATTGCTGCTGAGGACGGCAAAATGCCGCCCCCCAAATCCTGCCGCCCTAGGCGACCGCCTAGGGTCGCCTAGTGGAAGCGCCGGCCCTGCCCAGGGTATGGCTGAGGTATGCTGGCTGCTCGCTCCGAGAGTCTCACAGACCGGCGCAGCAAGAGGACAGGACCTTGCTAGGGTGGGACTGAGGTGCTAATACAGCTCAGTGGGGCAGGCTGTTGTATGGGCAGAGTGGGGGGCTTTTGCTGGTGCCAGGAGGGGGGGACACGCTCTCACCAGTGGCAGTCCAGCAGGAGGGGGCAAAGGTACATGCGGAGCTGGTGGTAAAGATCCCAGAGCATCTACCTGTTCCAAGGAAGAGAACATCGTAGTGCCCAGACTCTGTCTCCACCCGGTCCACCAGCAGCTGCCGTAGCCGATAGGGCACATTGGCCCTCACCAGGATGGGCTTCCGGCCAAGGGGGTACACGGGGCCCCACATCAGCTGGTGGTTGCGCATGAAGCTTATCAGGTCATCAGGGAAGTCCTTGGTGGAGTGGAGAAGAGGGTCGTACGTTTCGCTGGGGCACTGGGGGAAGAGACGGAAACAGAAGTGGGAGTTTAAAGCACAGAGTGACCCAACCCCTTCCCCTTCAGTCACTGGCCTCTCAGTCCTGTCCCTCACCCCTCCCTGTGTCCCACACTCACCGTCCCTGGGCGAGGATAGGGGATCCGGCCCTTGTACTCCACCCAGCGGTAGTCAGCTCCTTCCTTGTGTGCAAAGGGCCCGCTGAAAGCAGCTCGCATGGCAGCCATGGAGTAGACACACACGGCAGAGCCGCTGAAGATCCCACTGCCGGAGAGGAGACAGACCGGCCTGAGCAACGGACTCTGACGTGGCCGCCATGGGAGCCAGCGCGAAAGGCCTGGTCTGTGTACAATGCTGCTGTGGTTTAACTAACTCAGGGCTTAGACCGGGCAGTCCCTTTCTGTGGCTTCAGTGGGGCCCATTGCCTGAGCTTCCCTCCATTCCCTGCCAGCTTCCGCCAGCAGCGCTCTGAAGCCACTGAGAGAGCATCCACCAGCTCTAATTGGTACAGCTGGTGCTGAGCCACCCAGCCTAGGGCTAGAGAGCTGCTGCTTGCATGGGAGAGGCTAACGTCCATTTACCACTGACCCAAGAGTCCCCACCCTGCGACCCTTGGAAGACCAGCATTAGCTAATGGGGGCAGGTGGGGAGGGGCTGGCACAGTCCCAGGGGAGCGGGATTGCCTAGGAGGCTCTGCAATGGGATATGTTTTTGCCATGGGCTTCATGCATCCTCCCACAGGAACTTTGTGTCCCTCTTCTCCCCTGCCCCGCCCCGGCACTTGACTAGTAACAGCCTCCATGCTGTCCAGCCACCAGTCTCACCGCCGTTTGTGCGAGAGCCTCCTCCCCTGCTGCTCCCTCTGCTCTGCTCTTCCCCTCAGCCCACCCGCTCACACTGACCTGGAGACCGTGAAGAGGCCGAAGACGAGAGGGCTCTGTGGGTCCCGGGTGCGGAGAAGGAAGACGTCCTCTGCAATGACAGCGGGTGAGGAGTCCTGAGCACACGCTCTCAGGGACCCAGCTCTGGGCCCAGGGAGCAGGGTGAGGGGCTTTCATCGGGTGACCTTTGCCCCCTCCCCTCTCCCACTGCAGTGACTGTGCCCCACTCGCTCTGGCGAAGGAGCGGGCAGCAGCCGGCACCCTTCAGTCGGCAGCCAGGGCTGCTGTGGTGATGCAAGGTGCTCAGAGTCCCTGCTACGGCTCAGTGGGTCACCTCCGGGACGAGCCCAGCCCAGGCGACCCAGCCGTGGGCCCTGAAGAATGGCAGCCCTAGGAGGGCCCGCGTGCCCCACTCACCGAGCTGGTCGAAGTGCGTCTCGCTGGCCTGGGGGCCTGGGATGGAGCAGACCAGCCGGGCCTTGAGGAACGTGCTCCAGCGATTGATCAGGCCGCGTTTCCCGCCGACGTCATTCTGCCAGTCACAAACCCACCGCTCAGAGGACGCTTGCGATGCCCCCCCTGCTCCCTCCAGTGTTAACCCTCCATGCCCTCTCCCTGCCCCAGGCCACCGCCCCCTCCAGGATTGTTAACCTCGACATGCCAACAGCTCAGGGAGGGCGGGATGGGCGATTACCCCACTCTCTCCAGCCCAGCGTCTCAGCTTCACAAAGCAAGGCAGGGGACAGGACTTGCCCAATCAGTGGCAGAGCGGGCAACAAAACCCATGTCTCCTTACTCCTAATCCCTTCTCTAACCACTCCATCACGCTGCCTCCCATCCCTCTCCCCAAAGGCCAGCGCTGAGCCCAAGTGGCCCTGCCATGACAGAGGGAAAGGAGAGAGAAACAAGCTCTTGTTTCTCAGTAGGACAGAGCCATGTCATAGTGCCAGCCCCTCCCCCGGCCACTTGGTGGCTCTCCGCAGCCATGCCCTGACCCCGGGGTAGCTGACCTTGCACACGCGTGCCACCCGGGCATGGATGCGCCGCCTCTCCCACTGGCCGGCTTCCAGGGCCGTCTCTCGGAGGAAGACGTACACCTTGTCGTCGTGGGCATTGTGGGTGTCGGGAACCAAGTAGGCACCGATGAACACAGGCTCTGCGAGAAGGGAAAGTCGGGCAGCCAATGGCACCGTGCCGGCAGGTTGACCGATACCCTTTGGCCATGTCCCCTTTTCCTCTGACAGACTTGGCTCTGTTCCGGCTTTAAATGATACCTGCAGCCAGGGGCTGCAGTCAGGATTGGGACCCAGGAATAGTCGCTGTCCCACGGAGCTCACACTTTGCCCGAGTCATGAAATGAGGCTCTGATTCCGTGCTTTCAAACACAGAGCCTCCATTACGATCATGGAGCCACGACCGGTGAGCTCTACCCCTTGGTTCCTGCATCATCTCCATCGCTTCCGCGAAGCGAGTTTTGAGTCTAAACTTCATCAAGGCACAGGGCTGTTGGGCTCTGCGAGTGAATCGTGGCATGACAAGCCAGCTGCAAAATTTGGTCTCAATGGCACCAGGCTCTGAAATTCCCTGCTGGGCTTTGGAGCTGGGGTTCTGATCCAGACCCATCTAAGCTTTACTAAAGAGAAAGGAGATGCTGGAATCGAGGAGCACCCCAGCAAACAAAGAGGGGAGTGGAAATACCGTTAGCTTCCCACCGCATTCAGTTTTGCTGCCTTGTGATAAGTTCCTTACGAATGTGGAGTCATTGCTTACTCTGAGCGGAGTGCCCTGGATTGCAGCAAGACGCCATGCAGAGCGAGGGTATTGCTCAAACCAAGCAATGCTGGCAGGATCTCACCAGTGGGACTGGCATTCGGCACTACCCACTCAGACCATCTCAGTTTTCTACCTGACAAGATCATTGTGGCCCGAGGTTTGATGCAAAGTGCGGTGTGGGTTTTTGATAGTCTCGCAAAACTTCCCCTGAACAATTCAGGTGTCATGGCTGAAAAACCGGGCCTCTAGTGCCAACAGTCTGAGCTGCTTCCACTTGAGCTAATGCTCCCTAGCTGGGCCTGCAGCTGACTTGCCCCCTCCATGGACGGGGCATAGAGGGGCCCTGTCACACACCCGCAGAGCAGTGGGTTACACAAGTTGATCTCACCCGGGGCTGGGTTTCAGCAGCACTTCCATCTTCGGGGGCTGGAGATCTGAAGAACATCAGAGTGAATCTGGGCACTAAAGGGAGCTTGTGCCCTGCAGTGAGTCTGGCGCTTTGGCCCAAAGGCAGCTGGAGCTCCTGGGTCTAGGCATGGAGTTGTCCGGTTCTACCCAGGTCTTTCCTCGGTCATTGGGGGAGGGATAGCTCCGTGGTTTGAGCATTGGCCTGCTAAACCCAGGGTTGTGAGTTCAGTCCTTGAGGGGGCCATTTAGAGATTTGGGGCAAAAATCTGTCTGGGGATTGGTCCTGCTTTGAGCAGGGGGTTGGACTAGATGACCTCCTGAGGTCCCTTCCAACCCTGACATTCTATGATTCAGGGGCGTCTCCTGTCCCTTCTCCCTGCAGCTCCTGAGGGCTGAGACTGGTGGGGGCACGGGAGGGGACAGCAGCAGAAGGGGTAGTTTGAAGTGTTCAAACAGAGGCCTGTGCCCTAGTGACACTAGGAGGTCTGGGCCTCTTAAAGCAGCAAGGAGAGAAAATCAAGCCCCTGTTCCCCAGCAGCAGCACAGGAAACGTGGCGCCTGCATCTCTTCCTGCTGCTCACCCTCTTCCCCAGCAGTGCTAAGTCCATTACATTGCCGGGTAGGACTGCCCCCCCAAGGCTATATCCCAGCCCCCCATTGTACCGTTTAGCCAGTGATCTTGGTTCTGTTCTGTCCGGATGTAGTTCTGGGCAGCCTTGTGAACTCGGGTCCGGAAGAAGGCGGCGCTGCTGCCCATGAAGTCGCTGGAGGTGCCCGAATACAGCTCCCTGTCTGAGCTCAGAGAGGCAAGCATGTGTTAGCAGAGCCAGCGGGTGCTTTGACTTAGCCAGCCAGCTCCTCCCTGTCCCACCCCTGGGGAAGGAGGCACAGACAGGGTTCAGGGGCACTGTGCCATGGGTCAGCCTCGCCCGAGGAGCCATGAGCTGACCGCGACAAGGGAATGGCAGATTTTCTTGTGGAGCCTTGAATACAAACTAGAATCACAGCCCCCGTTCTGTATAACTAGCTCCAGGCAGAGTGTGCGTTCCCTGCTCAGGTGTGGGTCTCAGAGGTGGCCAAGTTTGCCGCCTTTCCCTGTGAACACTTTGCGAATTGAAGGCAGGCTGTGCCAGGCAGTTACTGGGAGGGAGATTGAGGAGCTCTGAGGGTATAACTACACTGCGGCTGAAGGTGTAATTCCCAACTTGGGGAGACGTACATGTGCCAGCTCTGAGCGAGCTAGTGTGGGTGGCCATGATGGCAGGGGCAGCATCTTGGGCTGGCTGGCAGAGCATGGTCCCACCCGAAACCCCAGGTAAATACTCCACTCCACACAATGAGGGCTAGAAATTCTCTGGCATTAAAACAAGAACGAACACCTAACAAGAACCAACAGCTTAGCAATAACTAAATACAGGGCAGATGAAAGCAATTCCCTTCATCGCTCGGCAAGAAATGCCAATTTCCTTACCTACCACCCTGGGCCAGGAGAGGGTCTTATTACAGTCTCCTCCTGCACAATCTAGTGCCTCTGTCACCCTCCCGAACCAAGATTGGCAGCCTTCAGCTGCTGTCAGACAGATGGGCCTTCCTCTCTTAGATCCAGCTAGTCACAAGCTTGGGCAGCTCTGTAGTTCCAGCCCCAGATCAGCCGTGCAGGGTAAGAAGCCCAGGCCAAAGCTCGGCTGTGATGAATCTGTGCAGCCAGTCACTCCTTGCCTAGTCCCTGTCAGAGCTAACCTCCTACCTTGGCCTTTCACACCTGCCTGGGTGTCCGGCTGAGCTCCCCCGTGAAAGGGAGCTTGCAGGTTCCACTCTGGCAGAAACCACAGCTGAATGAGGGACGTGGGTTAGGAATCATTGGCAGGGGATGGAGCTGATTGTCTAACTCTACTTCATTTCTAATGCGCCCATCACCACAGTATCTAGGTCCCTCTTCCTACCCCTCCCCTCCATTCCTCTTACCTATGAGTAGCCCAGTGAAAGGTTCATGGGGGCTGAATGGACACTTGCCTCTCCCAGATTCCACAGAGTTGGCCACCAGCTGTATAGGGGAGCCCCCCGGCTCCTGCAGGGGTTAAAGGGGAGATTTTTGGCCCAGGGAGAGGCTGGGAATGAACTGATCTGAGCGACTTTGGGGCAGCCCCGCCAGACTTCAAAGTCCACATTGTGTCAGACACACATGTCCATATGTCGGGGTCCGAGCCGCGTTGGGCCCGCTCTGCCGGCCACTGCCAAGTTAGCAGCACTTAGTATGTATCGGATGGATGTGCTCACAGTGCTGGAGGCAGAAGCAGACACAGTCCCTGGTCCCTAAGAGCTCACAATACAGGGAAGGTCTTGGAGGTGCAACCAGGCAGGGACGCTGCTGGGCACCAACCCAAGCTGGCCAGGTTCAGCTCGTCTGGTGAGAGACTAAGGACCGGGCCTGGGTCGCTCAGCTGCTGTTTTCCTGGGAGCAGCTGATCTCTGGAGAGGACTGACCCTTGCGAGGGGTGCGTGTGCCCCAGGGTCCTGCTGCAGGAATGGGCATGCCCCCCTCCTGCTGCTGGGGGAGAAAGGGGAGTGAGCACCCTCTCTTAGGCCCCCTCATGCTGCCCCCCTCCTGAGGTCCTTCATGCTACCTGCGCAAGACGTGCTACCAGGTTCCTTGCACTAGGTGCAGAGCTTGGCACGTGCAGGCTCTGGTGTCCCTCTTGTACCACCTAGGAGATTGTGCGCCTCTCCCCTGTGATTCCTCATGCCCCACCAGAGAGGAGAGAGTGAGTACCCTGGGATTCATCATGGAGCCCAGTGGGGGTGAGGGCACATCTGGGGGTTTTCTCACTGCCCTTGGCACAGGCAAATTCACCCTCCAGGGTCTCTCTCACCTGTGCCCTGGCTCCGAGCTGGACAAAGGCGCAGATGGGCTGGTAGGAGCCAGTCCCACAGGCAAACACGTGGCTCCTGTTGAATGGCTGGAGAAGCCGGATGAAATTGGCACATTCTGTCTGCTCGGGGAAAAAAAGGTTCCTTCAAATGCCAGCACCATTACCCTGGGCCTTTGTGCTCCAGATCCTGCCCATGGGGCCCCCTCACCTCTTCTAACACTGATCTCCAGCATGTCCCCTCCCCAGGGTACGGGAACGCCCTGGTGCCATTTGCTGTGCACTTCTCCATAGGTTTGCTGATCCCCAGAAGAGTGGGCGATGTCTGGCTAACACTAGCCATGGGGACAAGGCCAGCGGCCTGGTGGCCCCTGACCAAAGCTGTATGCTTACTGTCCCATCGTTAAAGGTTACATGGGGTCAAAGGGAGCCATGCCGGCAGCCTGAGCGCCCATTGGCTACAGATCAATGAGGCTGCTGCTCTCGGCAGGCTGGACTCATGTGGGTCAGACAGATTCCTGCCTGGGCCATGGCTCGCTGAGCTTTTAACAAGGATGTTGGGATCCTGCTTTACCTCTGCGCTCTTCCCAGCAAGCCGGCAGCGCTCCACCTGCTCCTTGCGGGCTGGCCAGAAAACCTGCAAGAGAAAGCACCGGCCTGGGCCCGTTACTCCAGCCTCCTCTCTCCTCCTCGGTGGTCCTGCACCAGTTGGGCAGCACAAAGGGGGCTGGAGCTGCTCCCCAAGAGCGCCCCATGCTCCATCCTGCTTCCCTGACAGGGGTGCTAAGCATGGGCAGGTGCGTGTCAGTACATACAATCACAGCCCAACCAGTCAGCGGTGCCGCTCCATGGGGCAATGAGAATGAGCGAATGCCACCCGAGGGCTGCAGTATGTGCCAGGGCTTGCGTGCTCTTGGGTGTAATGCCCCCCTCTCCCCCCAATGGCAGTGTATAACAGGCCTTTGGTCGCTGGCTTTGCAGTACCGGTGCCCCCTCTGGCACGCAGAGCTGTGCTCCCGGCTCCCCAGGCTGCTGGGAAGGGGAAAGCCGGGCTGCCTTGGGACTGCATTTCCATGCCCACCCCGGCACTGACCTTCTGAGGCTCCTCATTTGGCCTGTCCAGATGCAGCAGGAAGATGTGGTTTTTGGCTCCCACCATCAGCCACGCCCTGGTCTCATCCACCAGGAAGGACTGGAAGGCCAGCCCATCCCCCGAACCCAGCAACAGGCGGGAGCTGTTGGATCTCAGCAGGTCTGCAGAGCAGAGGGGGGGATCTGTCACCCCCATACACAGGAGGGAGCCCTGACCACATCCCCCACCCCCAGAGATAGCGAGCAGTATCTCACCTGGTCCCGCATGCTCCCTGGGAAAGTCCTCTTTCCCCTGACCCTGGAAGAGTCCTTGCTACTGTGAACGCTATCCCCGTGCGCCCTGGGGAAGGACTGCACTACCCCAGAGGATAGCGAGCATTACCCCCGCCTACAGGAGATAGCAAGCACTGCTAGTAGCTGCCCTTTCCCTGACACCAGGGCAAGATGGCCCAGCCCACCTCTGGCCAGTAACTGGTGTGGCCTCTGGTAGTCCTGGCCTGGTGTTCCCTCCCAGAAAGGGGAGTGTCCCATAGGTCAGGACAGCCGGCTGGCCCCACAGGAGACAAGCAGCTGCTATAGGGTCATGGCAACTCAGCTTCGAGTGTCACTGACCTTGCAGTTCAATGGCGCCATGGGGCCTGGAAGAATTTTAACCATTGCAGCAAATCCCCGATTCTCCGCAGTCCTGTTGCCCGGGCAGTGCAGGCTGAGAATGCAGGACGGGTCCAGCTTGCATTTCTAGCAGAGGGATCCCTAAGCATGGGCTCAGTGGAGTTTCTATATAAAGGCTCTCAGTCATCCCCTGGTGAACGTAGCCTTGAAATTAAAGGCTGTGTTAAACTGGTGGCTGCTGCTTGATTTATGGGGCGATCGTTTGTGGTGTTGCAGGACTCATTTCCCTAGCTGAGCTGGGCCTCACCTCCTGGGTCGAGCAGAATCTCGACAGCTTCTAAATCCATCTCCCTCTCTCTCCTGGGGAACCGCAGCATTCCTCAGCCCTGGCCCAGGCCAGCTCGTGGGAGATGCCAGAGGGCCCTTGGCACAGGCGGGTGAAAGCAGCACAAAAACTGGACGTGGCAAGGTCCCAGGAGGTGATTTCCTGGCGCCTTTGCACCGTGGAGTCCGTCTGCAGGAGCATGTTCCAATACTTTGTCGGTTCTGCTCTACTGCTAATGTCCCAATGGATGGGGCTGTCACCGCTTCTCTAGGGAGAGTATCCCCATTCCCCAGCCTCTCTGTGCACTGGCAGGACTTTGCCCCTGCCTGTCTTCTCCTTTATTTGCTAAGCGCTGACCACATGCTCAGCTCTGCACAGAGCCAGCCAGTCCCTGCCCCAAGGAGCTTACAGTCTAAACCTCCCCCTGCTGCTCCTTGGTCCATCCTGCACCATTCCTCAGCCTCAGCGTCCCTCGGCAGACGTGCCTTCAGACTGCTGAGCCAGTGGGGATCTGGCAGCTCTTCCCCTCCCCCTTAATACAGTAGTGGAGTTTAAGTCCTGGATTAGCCCAGCTCAGAAAGTAGCTTTTAGAGCAGTCATTTGCTGACCAAGCCCCGGATGGCAAGATTCCCGGGAGCAACGTCAGCTGAACGAAGCAGAGGAGCCAGCGCAAAGCCCTTGGTATGAGCACTCCTCCACCTCCCACTCCTCCTGCTGCCCCACCTCTCGCTCAGGGAGTGGACAAAGGAGCGCGGACTTGGTGCTGCACTGGAGAAAGTGCCAGCAAGGTGAGTGCCCTCGGGCGAGGGGGCAGGACTGGGCAGCCACTGCCAGGTGCCCGATCCTCCTCTTCCCCCGGTTCTTTCTGCACGCGACAGCCAAGGCGCTGGACTGCAGCAGCGACTGAGTGCCTTAGGCATGAGCTGGACTGGAACCCAGCTTGCTCTCCCATCGCTGTAACAGCCCCATTGGCTAACAGCAGGAATCGAGGCCATCTGGCCATACTCTCTCTCTTGCCATACCACCTCATCTTCCCCTGCGGGGACACCTCTGAGCCTCAGGTGTCTGGCTCCCCTTCCTGGCTGAGTTCCAGGGGTGCTTGGGGGGGAATCTTCCACCTTGGCTAATCATCCCTGAAACATTGCCCAATCTAGCCTGAGCCCGGACAGGGGGCTGTGTGGGAATTAACGAGACATGTATCAGTCTGGGGGACACAGCCAAATCCACCCCCCTGTCACTCCACAGACATGCATGGAGTTTTGCTCCGATTAAGTGCTGACCACATGCTGTACAAAACCCAAACCTCAAAGCAGCCCCTGCCCTGGAGAGGTTACTCAGTAGAAGACTGATGCAGCTGGACAAGAAGTGATGGGAGGCCCAGAGGGAAGAGTCACCTTAGAGCATTTAAAATCCTTAACCAATCACTTTCCTGTGTCTCTTGGAGGGATCTGACTGAGGCGAGTGCTGGCCAGCTGCACTGGGAGGTCATGCCATGCTGAGGGGGCTTGGAGGAAGGTTGGAAAACAGGAGTGGAAGAAGGAAACAAGAGAGGAGATCAGGCAGGCGTTACTGGCTGAGTGACGGGGCTGGGGATGTGTAGGAGGTGAGATGTGAGTCCTAGGTCTGGGAGAATCTGTGCAGGACCTTGAAATCCACGAAGATGGGATGAACTTGGCTCTCTGTGGCTGAGCAGACTGCACCAGAAATGCAACTGGGGAGCAAGCAAGCCAGCATGTGTTTGTGCAGGTGTGGGTCCGTGTATGTGGGGGCATGGGTGCCTGAGATAGGATGCATGGAGGCGCATGCTAAAACAGGCCATGGGATTGCAGACTGTTTCTCTTTCCCTGTCACCCCATTTCCAGGGGACAGAGGAAGCCAGGACCTCTTTTTCTTCGGGGCAGCTGCAGCCAGCTGGAAATTCCACTGACGTCTGCTCAGCCCAGCAAGGCAAGGAGCAACTGCAGCATTTGCAGCGGGCAGGTGCTGGTTCTCAGTCTCTGTATGAAGAAAGCGCTTCAGTCAAGGCAGCAGCTCAATGGCAAATCAGTTCCCTGGCTCAGCCCAGTCCAGCCTGGCTAATGACCGGGCCTGTCTTTTTGTATACAGCGAGCCAGGGAAGTTCCTTGCCACTAAGCATTCCTGCTGTGAGTGTCCTATAACTAGCCGGGGGAGGCGTTCTTACGGCTGGCATCATTGCTTGCTAGCTGTATCTCCAGTGCCGTTTTCCCAGCTGCAGCCTGGCGACCTCTGTGTGCTTTCCCCCCGGGCCAAGGACAAAGCTTTTTAAATCTGCCTAGGGAATCTGGACTCGTGTTCGTTGGAACGGGGCAGGTGAGTACAGTCTGAATGAGCCAGAGTGGGGAATTCGCCCTCCCACAAGTTGATGATCGCTGCCCTGTGAGTGACCCCAAGCGGGAACTGGGCAGGATCCAGATCTACAATGCATTCACCGGCCTCTGAAAAGGCTGGGTGTCTCCCTGGAGGCAGGGTTGCTCCTCTGACCCTGCTCACCCGGAGTGAAATGTAGGCCAGGCCCACTGAGGATACAGATCAGAGTGAGGGGTGGGGGCAGGTCAAAGGTTTATCCAATACACGCCCCCACCCTGCTTAATTAACCAGAGTAATGCAATGAGGTCCCTAGAGCAATAGAGCCCAGGACGCTCCCATTAGCACTGCTTCACTTTCTGACCTCCCTCGGGCCGGGGGCAGGGGAGAGGTCAGCCAGGGTTGATGGTGGGGTTCGCTCAGGCCCACTGTGTTCTTTGGGGCTAAGATTCAATCTGGCTCCCAGGCAAGATGAATTATCCCGCACTTGCAGCATTAAGTCCATCACCATGATCTCTAGTTTCAGATCCTCCACCCTATGGCTTGGCTTGTCCCATTCCCTTCATGAAGAAGTAGGTGGGAATCTGACCCAGTTCATCCCACTCATGAAACAAACCTGGGCAAGGAACTGATCAGTTAAACAGGAAGTCTGGGGGGGCTGGGAAAGGGGTGGAGCAGGGAGATCCCCACTGTGTGGTGGCTGGGAGAGCCAAGGTACCTGCTCCTTATCTGCAGATGAGGCATCATATCCCTCCAAGCATATTTACATTCCTGGCCAGGTCCCCCATAACCATTGCATCCTGCTGAGCATCTCTGCCCAACCTTCCCCTGAACTGTGCTCACCACGAGGGCATCCGAGTGCCTCCCAGGCCTGACGTGTTGCTCTTCTTGGAGAGTGTTCTCTCTCCTCCCCAACACAGACAGGCCAGCACTGAAACCCTGAGCTGAACACCCCAAAAGCCTGGGGAAAATCTGGATTTGAATCAAGCTTTTTGCTGCGATGGCCAGCGTGAAAGGAGTGCATTGGGGCCACTTAGCTAGTGGTGTGTGATACGATAACGGCCTGCTGGGAACAGGAATGAGGCCCATGAACACACTGTGCGCCTATACCACCTATCAACCATCCAGTGGTAACAACGTCTAGCCCCTAACAATCTGTGAACCAGTGATCTGCAGGCAAAGGGCTCTGTAGCCAGCGTCCAGTCGCCTGGAACGTTCAGCCCTCTACGTTAACAGCAGATCACACAGCGTTAAGGTGTAATCACTGATATGTAAGCCCAGAGTAATGACACCATCCCAGATAGAAAGACACAGCCCAGTCCAGGATTTCAGCTGGCTTCAATGCTGGCCCGTCTGAAACAGATTGAAGTAGCATTCACATTGTGAATGCCGATCAGCGCAGGCCAAACACCAAGAGGCTGGTAGTGCTTCCTGTCCAGTAATGTAACTTATTGATGTGAATGTGTTACAGGTCCCCCTCTGTGACGATCAATGGGATACAAGGTGTTACATGCAGCCCCAGAGATCAGGCAGATCATACTTTCAGCTCTGGAGGTCCCTAGTTCCGGCCCTCCCACGTCTGTCACAGGAGCAGTTACGTGGATTGTCTCAGAGAGGCCGGCGTTCTATTATAAGCCATCCAAATGCGTTATTATGGTGTAAGGGGTCATATTGCTGCTTAGTCTTATTGTTCTGGGCCGTGTTCCCCTGTGCACTATCCTTCCTTTGCTCTCCCTGCCTTAGGTCTGTCATTTCCTTTCCAAAAGCCTGTCTGTGTTTCTCCCCACCCCCATTCAGCCCACGCCCCTCCCCCATGCAGGGTTCTGACGATAGCCCGGCTCCCAAGAGGCTCTGGGGTGGAGGGAGTCTGGGAGGTTTCTTTCCTCTGGGGTTTTTGAAACCTAAACTTGTCAGGCTGTTGTGGCCTTGACTCTGCTACGTGTGGTCTGTGAGTCACACCTCCTGCCATTGTCTGCATTGTCCCCAAGCCAGCCTGAGGCTGGGAGCTTCCTCTCCCAGCTTTGCCCACAGCACGAGGACTGCTCTAGCTTTGAAGAAAGAAGCCCTCCTCGGTCCTCTCCTCCAAACAATCTCTGCTCCCGCCTGACCAAGGAAAGGAAGATCCAGCCATTGTGTTTCTGAGACGTGTTATCGACGCTGGCAATCGCCCAGCAGTGACCTGCTCTGGATCACTGTGCTTCCTCATCGGATGCTGCGTGGCAGACAGTGTGTGCAGGCAGCCCTGACCAGGGCCGACTTCTCCCCCCACTCCCTTGTGGTCCTTGGTTTCAAGCCTGAGTTCTGATGGCTCCCCACAACCCTCCAGGGCATCTCCCGGCTTGAGTGCCGGTCTCTGCCCAGAACTTAGTTCTGTACTGAGAGTGCCTCAGGCTTGGCGTCCAGGAGATAGAGTTTTGTGGAGCTCTGTGTTCGATGAGCATCCAGTCTAAGTCCCCCTTGCACCTAAGTTAGACTGCCAAGCAACTGGCTCTCTTCTCTGGGAGTGAGAGGAGACATATGGTCACAGGTTTCATCCCTGCCCTGCCCTGACGTGCCACCCCTGGTCCTCACCTCCACCCTGATGCCACCACCATCAGCAAAGTTCTTCCTGCAGCAGAACCACTGTCCTCAGCTAGTGTAAACTAAGCAGGCTTGTGCCTGGCTGGAGTTTGGATGGGAGGCCTCCAAGGAAGCCCACTAGGGTAGGCATTGCTGGTGGGTCAGTTTGGTATGTGGTGCTCATCTGTGTCCACACTGATCCAATGGCCCAGCATGGAGCTAGGGTGTGCTATGCTGCTGCTAGGTGAAAATCAGAGAGCGTCCCGACCACTTTGTCATTAAAGAGCCCTGTCTCAGGCTGAGCTGGGCCTTAAGGGGGTGGGGGCTCAGCCTACCTTCCCAGCTGAAGGGGGTCACATGGGAGAAGATTGTGACTCGGTGTGTGGGAGTATAAAGGGCGGCCTGAGTTCATAAAGCTATCTCCCACAGAAAGGAGTAGAGCAGCTTGCCTTAATTCCCAGGCAAAAGGCCTGGGGCGTGGGATCTCTGGCAGAGCCACCAGCAGGAGACCCTGGGTTGGGGGAAGGGGCCTGATTTACATGTGGAGCTAAGGTTAAACTGTTTTACTTGGAAAAAGCAGAAGCCAAGTCCTGAAGAAAAGGGACTGAAAGACTGTGTTGGCTGCGAGGTCTCGCAGGCACTGGCTGGTGAGTTGGGCCTCTGCCTTACAAGCCCATGCTGGTTTTCCCGAGAGCAGGAATGCTGAATTCCAGCAGCCTGGCTGGATCCCAACTCATGAGTAAGCTATGCAGATTAGTCTTCACTTCCCCTGTCCTATAAGCTGTTGTATAGTTTTGCTATGTGCTGTTAACGAGCTAGTGCATTCTGTACCAGAGGTGGCTGCATTTCATTGTTGGGCCTTGGAGCCATCCACATAGACTGTAAAATGCTTCAGGATCCTTTTGGCTGAAAGGGACTGTGTGGTACATGAACGTAAGACTGTTGTCAGTAGCCGTGGCATCGAAATATCGTGCCATTAGGATGGGTGCTTGCATACCCCGGTGATGAGTGCAGTATACATGACTAGACAAATCATCATCATTATGTCACTAGCTGAAATAAAGTCCAGGGCAGATGTGGCCCAATTGCAGAATTAGCGGGGGCTCAGAGAGGGGCCTGGAACAGCTCTCCTCAGAAGAGACTGAAAAGATTGGGATTGTTCCCTTGGAAAGGATGAATAAGAGGGGATGTGATAAAGGTTTGCTTGGTCCTGCCACTGCGCAGGCCTTCTCAAGGTCCCTTCCAGCCCTACATGTCTATGAAAGGCTATAAAACCATGAATGGGATAGAGAAGGGAGACTGGGAACTTCTGTTCTGCCTCATGACACGTGAACAAGGGGACAGTCAATGAAACGGAAAGGTGGGGAATCCAAAACTGACCCAAGCTTTCCCCCAATGCGCGATCAGCTTGTCTTGCCAGCCCGTTAACATAACTGACAACAGCAAAACTTCTGGAAGTGATATTAGCCCCCATGGTTTGAGCCAAGCTCTCACCACCAAGGACAAGGAGGTTTCTTGCCCCTTTCTCTGAAGCATCTGGTGCTGGCCTCCAGTTCGCTGGGCTAGATGGCTCGGGTGTGAGCCAGTCTGGCAATCCCTGTGTCCCTAAAAGGAACTCAGCGTGATGCCTGTCTGGTGGCCCCTTTGTGAGACAAGCTGAGGGTCTCAGTCCAGTTCCTTGTGGATGTATGCCCGTTTCACAAACCCGCTGCTAGCTGGTCCCCGCGCTGGCAGCCTCAGCAGAGAGGCCGAGGGCTGACGCTGTGGTGTGAACTCCCTTCTCACTCCTACACAAAAGATTTGGGGGAGGTGACGAGAGCTAAAACTCCGGCACCACGAAGGGTGAATCCTTGCTCGCCCCCACACGGCTGGAGTAAACGGGCTGGGCACTGAGTAGGAATCCTTGCCCCAGGCCGTAGTGCAGCAACGGCTCCGCTCCATGGCTGCTGCCACCTCTCTGGGCTGCCATCGCCCCCTCCTTGCAGGGCAGTGGATCTGTGTAGCTTGCAGATCCCCCAGTTCCTCCCCGGCCCACCATAATAGTCCTAGGTGTGGGTGTGTGTGTGCAGGGAGCCCTCACAGAGCTCTGTACCACAGAGGGTAGGGAATACAGCCTCCCTGCATCCATGTATTGGGTCTTGGTTGACTGAGCCTCACAAAGCTGAGTTAAGTGACTTGCTTGAGGCTACGCACTGAGTCAGTGGCAGAAGCCGGCTCTCCAGATTCCCAATGCCCTGCTCTAACCACTAGACATGCTTCCTCCCAGGTGACCACAGGCTGACTCTGCTCCCGCCCTCACACTGAAGTCTGTACGCTTCCCCCATGCAACTGAACAATTGTTTTGTTGAGTGGCCTGTGTAGCTAGAGGCTGGCCAAGGCCTCCTGTAGTGCGTGACGTTTCCCCATGGTGAGGGCTGGCCCCATCCCTGTGCATTACATAGTACATGGAACATTATAAAGCACTGTACGCTGAGTCTCAGGGTGAAATGAGGCATTTTTAGACACTCTCCTGTGCCCCAGGGGCAGCCTGAGACTTCCCCTCTGGGCCATTCCCTTTCCAATCCCCATCCCTGACAGCAGCAGGTAGATGAGCATTGCCTGAGCCCCCTGGGGTGGTGGCATTCTCTGAGCTCTCTGGCTGTGCTGCAGTCAGCTGAGCTCAGCCTCTGTCAGGTTCTGGTGCCTCACTGGCCACAACTACTGCAGGGCAAGAAGCTCCATTGTAGGGCTGATATTGGCCCCACCCAAACCCAGTAGTCCAGATCTCACCCCCCCCCCCCATCCCTGGCTTCACTAGCTGCCAGTCAGCTTGGCTGCCTGATGCTGTTTCTAGATCATTCTGAACAGGGCATGAACCCCAAGGAAATCCTGGCTCTGACTGCAGGGCTGATCAGCCACAGGCTCCCCTACCTTTGTATGAGAGGCGAAGGCGAGGGACACCTCGCTTCCAGGCACTGCCATTCCCAATGCTCAGCAGGAGAATCCAAGTCAGCAGGGCAGGGACAGAGGAGAGGTGCCACCTGCTAAAGACCAGGGCTGGCATGCTGAGGGATTCTCTGGCCAGGGGCTCCTCTCTCAGCAGGGAAAGCTGCTCCTCCCTCCTGGGAGCATGTTCTGCTGGGGGAGATTCTGGTGCCGCTTCCAGCTGAAAACAGAAAGGGAGGAATTCTGCATCTCTCTCTGCCATGCATTTAGCAGGGCTGAATACTTGAGCTCTTAGCCTGCATGTGCTGAGCCCCTGCAGTTCTCACTGCTGCCTGGGAGATTGATTTAAATCAAGGCGATTGAAGTCAATGATTTAAATCTAGGGTGAACAGATGTCCCGATTTTATAGGGACAGTCCTGATTTTTGGGTCTTTTTCTTTTATGGGCTCCTATTACCCCCAACCCCCATCCCGATTTTTCACATTTGCTGTCTGGTCACCCTATTTAAATCATGATTTCAATCATCAGGTGGAAAGCCTTGATTTAACTCATTGGTTATAATCAACTTTTCCATTTGCACTTCAGTTACTTCCTAAAGAAACGTGAATTCTCATTGGTTGATGTAATCATTTAAAACATGTTGATTTACAACTAAATAGAGTTTTTGCACTAGATATGGTACAACTTTTTGCTACGTAGGAGGGTACACAATAACTCTAAACATTTATTTAAGCAATTCTATAGCTTACTATTTTCAGATTCTTGTTACTTGTACACTTTTAGTATGTTAGGAAATGGTGAATGATATATTGCTTATTGCTTATTTACAACATAATTAGCTTTTGGCTCATGATTTGGGCCGAGCTGCATTAGGATGGTAACTGGAATTGAATTAAACACACAACAGCAAATACAATTTATTTTTATTAAACAAAACAACTTTAAATGTTTTGGCCACATAAACGTCTCTTATCAAAGCATGTTTCGCATTTACAACTAAACTCCAATAAGTTTTGGCCTTCACGTATTTTGGGTTAAAATCAGATTTCCTTTTAAACAGGTTTATTTTTAAAAAGAAAAGCGTTATAATGTAAGTTACAAAATCAAAAACATCTGATTTTAAATAAAAAAATCCAATTTAAATTTTTTTCAAAAAAATTTTTTTTTTTTTAATTCACTCTGCTTTGCTGGCTTGGGCCCTATCTGAGAATTAATTGCATCAGTGGCAATAGAAACTCAGGCCTGGGCTCTGTTAGGGTTCTGGCACCAGTAGAGGAGTCCTGGGACACCCCCAGTGCAGGCATGCTGCACCTCTGTAAAAACCACTTGCAAGTGTGGTGTTGCATTGTTGTGGGAAGAGCAGTCCAAATCCCCCCCCTGTGGGCAAGCCGTTAGGTGATATCTAAGGGGAATCAATTCTCCAGCTCCATCAATTCTCCAAAAGCTTATCCCTGTAGGAGTGGGGCTGAAATTCCACCCTCCCCTTCCTATTCACAGCTCCACCCAATCAGCCAGGAGCATTCTGAACTATGGAACTCCTTGTCAATTGCAGAGCTCAGAGGGCTTTAAACCTGAGGGTCAGGCTCATTGGACTGATGGGGATACAATCAGTATGGAAAAGTACAAAGAATTCCAAGGCCACACAGCAAGTCAGTGGCAGAACCATTGCTTACTAATCATTATTCATTTGCTATTGAAATAGCACCTTGAGGGCCCCAGCCAAGATCAGGTCCCTGTTGTGCTATGCACTGTGCAGAGACAATCCCTGTTCTGTAGAGCTCACACTGGCTAAGTAGACCCAGGTGCAAGGGGAAGGGACTTGCCCACAGTGCTGCACTGTGGCATCGTTAATGATGTTTTTATGATGGCCCGTATGTTTAGGTGCCCATCCCTGTAGGATTTCAGTCATTTTACAGCAGAACCAAACAGCTTCCAAGGGATGGGGAGCAGGTGTCCCCCTTGGCTCAACATAGTCACCTCTGCTTCCTTGAGGAATCCCAAGATCACAGAGTGCACTAGCCTGGAAATCTAATGCCTGCAGGCTGCAGCTGTTGAAAAGCTTGCTCAAAGAGGTGCCTCTTGCATCTTGCCCAGATGGCAAGGCAGCCAGACCCTGTGCATGGGAGTGCCCTGCAGAGATAGGCTTGTATTGCAGCAGCACTGGCATGTGTGCAAGCAATGTGACAATGTTTGCTATACTGGGGCCTGGTCTACACTAGTATTTTACCTCGGAATAGCTGCGTCTCACAGGAGGGTGAAAAATCCACACCCCTGAGAGACTGAGCTATGGCGACCTAACCCCTGCTGTAGACCACGCTTCCCCCACCCTAGCTGATGCCTCTTGGGGGAGGTGGGTTACCTGTGCCAACAGGAGAATCCCCTCCCATGGGCATAGGTAGTGGCTACAGCGGTGCAGACGGGCCCGTCACACACAAACCCTTAACTCCAGTGCAGTAGTGCTTTTCACTTGGTTTGGCTGGCCTGGGGGGGGGGGGGGGGGGGGGGGGGGGGGGGG